TTATTATTTTATTAGTAAAAGGCGTGTACACTGTTCGGCCTTCGATCGGTGTGCATGTCGACGCCCACACTCGACGCTGTGTGTACACGTGTTGAGGGGAGACGAGTCCGCCCACAGACCGAGCAACGAATGCGGGCGTGAGCGATGGGCGGCGAGAAGAAGGGAGAGAGAGAGACTTTTTTAGAAATGTTTAGATAACGTAGCTGAAACACACACACGCACGCACATACACACGCATACAAGCACTCGTACACACACAGACAAACACACACACGGACCAACTGCTAACTGAAGGGGGGTGGGGGGGGGGGGTGACGAAGTGACGATTCCACTTTCGTCACTTTTCCATTATCTCTCTTTACACCTTTTGGAGCGCCCCGGAAATGTGATAAAATCCGTAGAGGAAGAAGGAAGAGGGAGGAGGAGGAGGAGGAGGAGAGGAGAGGAGAAAAAAAATATGAAAATATTAAGAAAAAAATTAAAGACAAGGAAAAAGAAAGAATACATATCAGGAAGAGGAGGAGTAGGAGGAGGAGAGAGAGAGAGAAGGAGGGAGGAGGACGAGGAGGAAGAGGAGGAGGAGGAGAACGAGGAAGAGGAGGAGAGGAGAACGAGGAGGAGAGGAGAACGAGGAGGAGAAGAAGAAGGAGGAGGAAAGAAGAGGAAGAGGAAGGAGGAGGAGGAGCAGGAGGAGTACGCCTTGTTGCAGATAATAATGAGCCCAATTATTAAGGTTTCGACGTCGCCGTGACACTAAGAACTATTGATGGCTGCGGGCGGTTGAGGAACGGATGGCGGCGGGCGTGGCGTGTGTGTGGTGTGTGCGTGTGTGTGTGCGTGTGGTGTGTGTGTGTTGTATGTATGTATGTGTGTGTGCGTGTGTTGGAAGATCACTTTATATTCTTCTCGATCTCGATCTAAAATACGATTTGGTATTAGCATAGGTGTGACAGCGCGAGGGGTAATGAATACAAAAATGGGGGGGGGATGGGGGAGAGGGAGGAAGTGGGGAGGGGGAAGGAAGAGGGAGGGGGTGGAGAGAGAGGGAGAGTGGGGGAGGGGAAGGGGAAGGAAGAGGGAATGGGGGAGTGGAGATAGAGGAGAGTAGGGGAGGGGGGAGGGGGAAGGGTGGAGAGATGGGGGAGGGAGGGGGTGGAGGGAGAGGAGAGTAGGGGAGGGAAGAAGAAGGAAGGGGGGAGTGGAGAGAGAGGGGAGAGTGGGGGAGGGGGAAGGGGGGATTACATTCAAATACTTTGTTTTAGGAAGAAAGGGGGGGAGGGGAAGGGGGAGTGGAAGGAAGGGAGGGGGAGGAGGTAGAGGTGGGTTGGGTGGGGGGGAATAACTCTGTATCTTTTTCTTATCAGATTTTCTTGTTTCGGTTCTAGCCGGACTTCATTTTCGTCTTGCAGGAAATGAATTTTGATGTTAACGAACCTTTCAAAATTACATTATTTATTTTGCATGGAAAATATAACGATAATTTAATTTCTTTTTTGTTGTGTTTTTAGCGGAAATGGATTTGGGGGGGGGGGGAGTAACTTGATGAAGGACTTCGAATGTAATTATAAAAATTTATATATACTTTTTTTTGGCGGGATATTTAATTAGTAATTCACTTAATAGCTTTTCTGATGAGCATTGGCAACTCTTCGGGTTGAGTTGCCCGTTTGCGAATTCCTCTTTCTTGTTTATTTTTTTCTCTCTCTCTCTTTCGGATATCTAAAGATAACCTTAATCAAATTCCAAATTGATCCCATGCTTCAAAACAAAAAACAGAAAGATTTTAAAGTATGCAAAACCCTTTAATCACCACAATTAAGCGAAATAAACGACCGTAATTCGTGAAAGACCAGTTATAGTCGAGTGCTCGTTACGATGTCCACGGGCGCGGGCGGGGAAAGGTGGAGGAAAACACATTTAATGGTGTTTTATTTTTTTGGGGCGTCCCTTTTTTCGTTTTTCGAGGTTGAAACGACTCCTCAAAAAAGGGAAAGGGTAGAGGGGGGGGCAGGGGATGGTTTGAAGGGGGGTCTGTTTTTTTTTTTTTCTCTCTCTACGGTGTTATTATTATTATTATTTATTATTATTATTATTATTATTATTATTATTATTATTATATTATTATTATTTTTATTTTATTATTTTATTTATTTGTTTATTTTTAATTTTTTCTATCCCTTTTTTCATGTGTCTTCCAGTGTACAGGAATACACATGTTAATACACAGACAGACACACACGCACACACACGCACAAAACGAGCAATTTGCGTGTTTATAAATTTATTGTTGGCGGGATGGTGACGTCAGCGAGGAGAGGAGGTGGTAATCATGGTGACATTAGTGTCTCAGTCGTCACCATTACGATAAGCTCCTCTCAACAAGCAAAAAATAACACACACACACACACACACACACACACACACACACACACACACACACACACACACACACACATATATATATAGTGTGTGTGTGTGTGTGTGTTTTCTTTTTTCTTTTCAAATAAATAAATATACAGACAGGTAGATCAGATCAACATACAGACAGACAGACAGACAGGTAGACAGGTAGCGACACAGACGACATCCAGAGATAGAGATGCGGCGATGATGGGTTGGAGGGAGGTGGGGGAAGGGGGAGGAGGGAGTTTTGGGGTAATTAGTGGCTGTGTGTGGGTGATTAAGACCCCGGCGGAGGAGTGGGGAAGTGGGGGGGGGATGAGTAATGGCGGTTTCGGTGGCTGTGGGAGAGAGACAGACAGACGGATATGCGGATAGACAGACGGATGTGGACAGTCGTGTAAGCTCTCTCTCTTTTCTTTTTTTTTTCTCTTGTGGCTATCTGTTTGTCTTCCTCTCTTTTATTCCTGTCTCTCTCTCTCTTTCTCTTTCTCTTTCTCTTTCTCTGTGGCTATCTGTTTGTCTTTCTCTCTTTCTTATTTCTGTCTCTCTTTCTCTCTCTCTCTTTATCTATCTATCTATCTATCTATCTCGCTGGCTGTCGCTTTTTATTACTATTACTATTACAACTACTACTACTATACTACTACTACTACCACTTCTTTACTACCACAGCTGCTGTTCTTACTACTGCTACTGATATGAAATTACTATTATTATTATTTGCTTGTTATGATATTACTATTATTAGCACTAGTAATCTTGATGATTTCAAAATTGTGGCCCTGAGTGCCTGTCCTTGGCCCCATCCCCCCCCCTGCCCTCTCCACCATTGCCCTCCCCCACCATCTTTGCCCTCTCCCCATCATTGCCTTCCCCCACCATTACCCACCCCCATCTTTGCCCTTCCCTCCCCCCTCATCATTACCCACCCCCATCTTTGCCCTTCCCCCCATCATTACCCACCCCCATCTTTGCCCTCCCCCCCCCTCCCTCCCCCCATCAGTGGGTGTGTAATTAGGAAGATGTTTCAGGTAATCTGGTTGTTGGATGCAATTAGGATATTGGCAATGGCGTCGATAACGATACAATAGGAAAGGCCTCTGATTGTTGCAACTAAACCGATAATGAGGGCGATACGGAGACCCCGTTAAGTGGAACGCGATTGGAGGAGGTGGGGAATGGTGGGGATGGGGAGGGGTGGGAGGGGTAGTAGGGTGGGAGGGGGGTGGGGAATGGTGGGGATGGGAGGGGGGTGGGGGAGGGTGGGAGGAGGGGGGTAGTAGGTGGGAGGGGGTGGGGAATGGGAGGGAGGGATGGGGGGATGGTTGGTTGGATCCTGCTACTTCTCTCCTTAAGATTGAAGGGGGGGAGGGAGGGAGGAGGGGGGGTTAAAGGGAGAGGGAGAAGGGAGGGAGGGGTTGTTGGATCTCCCCCTCCCCTCTCTTCCTTAAGATTGCAGCGAGAGGAAGGGGAAGAGGGAGGGAGGGGAGGAGGAGGAGGAGGAGAGGGAGGAGTTTCTGCATTTGTAGAAACGTTCACACGTTCTTGAACACCTTTTTAGGAAGCGGAAGAACGAAGAAGAAAAGAGAAGGAAGAACAAGAATGAGAGGATTAAAAAAATAAAACAAAGATAAATAGAACAGAGAGAGAGAGAGAGAGAGAGAGAGAGAGAGAGAGAGAGAGAGAGGAGAGAGAGAGAGAGAGAGAGAGAGAGAGAGAGAGAGAGAAAGAGAAAGAGAGAGAGGAGAGAGAGAAAGAAGAAAGAGTAAGAGTAAGAAAGAAAGAAAGAAAGAAAAAAAGAGAGAGAAAAGAGAGAGAGAGGCGAGTTGATATGTTGGTTAGCCATGATTGATTAACCATCAAACACAAAAGCTTTACAGGCAAACCACGCCTGTGCCGCGAATAAACTCCACCCACCGAGTCGACCGACGAGCCAATCAAAATCCACGTGACCGACGGAGCAATTCTTGGTTGTCAATTTGGGTAACGAAGCCGGGGGGAAGAGGCAGACGGAGAAGAGGAAGGAGGAAGGAGGAGAGGAGGAAGGAGGGGGGGGAGGGGGAAGGGAAGGTGAGGAGGAGGGGAGGGAGGAAGGGGGAGAGGGGAGGGAGAGATGGGAAGGGGAGGGGAGGAGGGAGGGGAGGGAGATAGGAAGGGGAGGGGGAAGAAGGGAGAGGGTTAGATAGGAAGGGAGGAGGAGGGAAGGGGGAGGGAGAGAGTGTTTTGGGGTGGAAATGTGTGATCTCATGTATGTCTGTATGTCTGTTTTTCACACATACACACAAACAAACTAACACACACTCACTCACTCACTAGATTATATGTATAATAGATAATATCACATGTATACGCATGCACACACACACACACACACACACACACACACACACACACACACACACACACACACACACACACACACACACACACACACACACACACACACCACACACACGCCCACTGCCACACACATAAATCCCAGTTGACACGGCGTCGGGCGCCATCCGAAACCGCCACGTAAATCAATTTTTACGCTTAAATGACATGTATTTCTTTCACATAATTGCGGCCTTAACGACAAGTCGGTGTAATGACAGGGGTTTTAACAGTCCCGCCCACCGAGGCCCGGCGCTGCGGCTGCGGCTGGGCTCTGCGGCCGCCCTTGCATGACTGCGGCCAATTCACGTGCCGCTGACACGCCCGACGACACCCTTGTGCCTGCCTGCCTGCATGACTGCCGCCTCTGCCCTCCCCCTTGCCCTCCCTCTCTCCTCCTCCTCCCTCCATCAATCTCCCTAACTCCTCCCCTTGCCCTCCCTCCCTTCCTCCCTCTTCCTGCTCCTTCCTACCTAACTCCACCCCCTGCCCTTCCTCTTCCTTCCTCCCTCCTCCCTCTTCTCCTCCCTCCTGCCCTCCCTCTCTTCCTTCTCACCCTCCCCACCTCTCCCTCTCTCCCTTCCCCCTCCCTATTTCCTCCTTTTTTGTTTTAATCCCTTCCCTCTCATTGCTTATTTGCTCCCCTTGCTAATATCTCCTTTCAACTCATACTTATCTCACGTTATTTTGCAATTGTGCCTTCTCCCTCTTCCCTTACCCACCCTCCCCCTTCCTTCCTTCTCCCCTCTCCCTTGTTCGCCCTTTCCCTCCTCTCGTACCCCCCCTTCCCCCTTCCCCCTCCTTACATCCCCTTCCCCCCTCCTTACACCCCCTTCCCCCTCCCTTACACCCCCTTTCCCCCTCCTTACACCCTTTCCCCCTTACACTCCCTTCCCCCTCCTTACACTACACCCCTTCCCCCCTCCTTACACCCCCTTCCCCCCCCTGCCTTACACCCCCTTCCCCCCCTCCTTACACCCCCTTCCCCCCTCCTTACACCCCCTTCCCCCCTCCTTACACCCCCTTCCCCCGTGTTTGTGTCAAATTTGGGGTCTTGTAATCCCAATGAATGACAGTTGAGCTTTGCACGTCCGTCAGCCAATGGGAGCCGTTCTTGAGGGAGGTCGGTCGGCCAATCAGAATGCACGAATGCAGTTTTGGGTTTTGGAGCGGGATTTGAATTTTTTTTTTTCTTCTTTTCTTTTCTTTTTTTAGGAAAGGGGGGGGCGAGGGGGGGTTAGATAATGGATATGATTTGGTCAAGTGTGTGTGCGTCACTAGTTTATTTTTTCTTTTCTTTTCTTTTTCTTTTAAGTCGAATGTCTTTTCTTTTACGTGTGCGGAGTTTTTTTCTTTTCTTTTTTAATATTCCGAGATTTATATACTTTTTTTTTTTTAAAGAAACCGAGATTTATATACTTTTTAAAAATTCAAAGTCTCGAAGGGATAAATTTAACCGTTAAAAGCCTCGTTATTTTCACCGCTCGTTTGAACTTCGTCGGCGATCGTTTGAATCCGTTCTCATTATTTTTTTTTTCATAATCATTAACGCAAATTTTGTGGTTGATTTTTAACCGTTGGATATTTTGTTTTGATTGGTGATTCGATTAGTTTTGTTTTGTTTTCTTTTTAGTGTTTTATTTGACTTCACAGCTCGTTAGTTTTTTTGAAGAGAAGAGAAAAAAAAGAGGGACGGAAGTCACGTGACCACGCATTCGAAATTGTAATAATAGGTGTTGCTAATTAGGGTGATAATTACCAATTTAAGTGATGGAAAGGAGTGGGAGTAATGACAGTGGTGGTTTATGAATGTTTATGTTTAAAAGGAATGTGTATATAGATGTAGGTGCGCCTAAATAGACACATTTGCATATATCCGTATATAGTGTATATATACACATATAACACACGTTGTAAGGGAGTAGGAAGGGAGGAGGGAGGGTATAGGAAGGGGAAGGGAAGGGGAAGGGAGGAAAAGGGAAAAAAAGGGGAAGGGAAAGGGGAAGGGAAAGGGAGAGAAAAAAGAGAAAGGGGAGGAAGAGAGAAGGGAAAAGGGGAAGGGGAAAGAGAGAGAGAGAGAAAGACAGAGAGCGAGATAGAGAGAGAGAATGAGATAGATAGATAGAGAGAGAAGAGAGAAAGAAAGACAGAGAAGAGAAAAAGGAGAGGGTTTGAGGTCGCAGGTCCGTCCCATCTCCCTCCCCTCCTCCCTCCCCTCCTCCCCTCCTCCTCCCCCTCTCCCGTGCCCTGGTCTCAGGAAGGTTAGCTGTCAATCATGTTTTATGAGCCGTGACCGTTGTAAACATTTAGACGTGATACCTACAAGTTTTACGTCCTCGTTTCCAGTGGATAATTGTGCGTTCGTCTGCGGGTTTGTGTGCGCGCGCGTGTGTTTGTGTGTGTGTGTGTGTGTGTGTGTGTTGTGTGTGTGTGAGCGAGCGCGTGCGTGAGTGAGTGGTATTGAATGTGTCCTTCGTCATTTTTTTTTTCCTTTTTTTTATTTCTTCTTGTTCTTGTTCTTTTCTTTTCTTCTTCGTCTTCATCATCTTCTTCATCTTCTTTCTTTCTTCTTCTTCTTCTTCTTCTTCTTCTTCATCTTCTTCTTCACTTCTTCTTCTTCTTCTTCTTCTTCTTCTTCTGTTCTGACGAAGACACTGACGAAGACACACTAGACACTGACGGAGACACTGACTGACACTGACGAAGACACTGAAGGAGACACTGACGAAGACACTGAAGAAGACACTGACAGCAGACACTGACAAGACACTGAAGGAGACACTAACGAAGACACTGACGAAGACACAGACACTGACGAAGACACTGACAAAGACACTGAAGGAGACACTGACAAAGACACTGACAAAGACACTGACAAAAGACACTGACCGGACGGAGACACTGACGAAGACACTGACGGAGACACCGACGGAGACACTGACGAAGACACTGAGGGAGGCGAGGGCGGAGAGGCCGGGCGGGCAGCGGCGGTGGCCCCCGGGCGAATAACGAAAGCCTGTGTGAGCGTCTGGGTGTCAATATTCCTATCTGTGACACGTGACTGATGCCTCCCTGTGGGACTGGCTCGCGGGCCTGTCTACCTGTCCCGCGCGAGAGGAGTTTGTTTACACTTTGTTGACAAGTGTATGAGTTGGTGTGCATTTGTGCCTGGGGGGTGGAGGCGGGGAATGGGGAGGGAGGGAGTTGGGGTGGGGCTGGGTAGGGAAGGGGGAGATTGCGACTTCTTGGGCGAGCGTACAGGGACGTGCAGGCACAGGTCACGCACACATACTCACACACACACACACGGTTGCACACGTATGCACGCACACGCATTCTCATTTTACTCATTCACAACACTTCTCTCTCTCTCTCTCTCTCTCTCTCTCTCTCTCTCTCCTCTCTCTCTCTCTCTCTCTCTCTCTCTCTCTCTCTCTCTCTCTCTCTCCTCTCTCTCTCTCTCCTCTCTCTCTCTCTCTCTCTCTTTCTCCCCCTCTCACACCACAGCACACACACTCACACACTCACACTCACACTCACACACAACACACCACACACACACAACACTCACACACACTCGCAACACACACACACACACACACACACACACACACACAACACACACACACACACACACACACACACACACACACACACACACACACACACACACACACACACACACACACACGGTCACCCGCGTGTGTTTACCTCGCGAAAATGGAGGCAAATGTTTTGCAAGCACTTTCAGGAAAGTAATTTACATACTGCAGTGTTGGCACAGGACAAGGACGATAGAGAAGCCGAATAGGTGTTGGCAGTGGCAGGGAAGTTGGAAACCCAAGCCTCCTTTCGATCAGGAGTGTTGGCAGGGAGGTTGAAAGCCCTCCTTACCCCCACCCCCCTAGCTTCCATCCTTTCCACCTTCCCTCCTGCTTTCCTCTCTTCTTTCCTACCCTTCAATCTTCCCTTTCCCTACCCATCCATCTTTCTTCCCTTCTCCCTTCTATCTTCCCTTTTCCTACCCTTCCATCTTTCCTTCCCTCTCCTCCCTTCCCCTTCCCTTCCGGCCTCATCCTCCCCTCCCTCCTTCACCCCCCTCCCTTCCTCCACCTTCCTCTTCCACCTCCCCCTCCCTCCCCTCCCCTCCCTCCCTCCCACCTTCCTCTTCCACCTTCCCTCCCTTCCCCTCCCCGCTCTCCCCACCCTCACCACCACCCTCTCTCCTCCACCTTCCTCTCCCACCCCTCCTCCTCCCTCCTCCTCCCTCCCTCCCGTCCTACCCTTCCTCTTCCACCTCCCTCCCCGCTCTTCCCCTCCCATCTCACCTCCCTTCCCTCCTCCTCCCCTTCCACCCTCCCCTCCCGCTCCTCCCTCCACTCCCCCCTCCCCTCCTCCCTCCCACCTCCTTTACCCTCCTCCTCACTCCCTCCCTCCCTTCCTCCCCCTCCTCCCGTCCTTACCCTTCCACCACCCTCCCACCTCCCTCACCTCCTCTCCCTCCCTCCTGCCCTTCCTCTCCCCTCCCCCTCCCTCCTCCACTCCTCCCCTTCCCTCTCCACCTTCCCTCTTCCACCCCCCTCCTCCTCCCTCCACTCCTCCTCCCCTCCCTCCTCCTCCCTCCCTCCCCTCTTCCACCTTCACCTCACCCTCCCTCCCTCCTCCTCCGCTCCTCCCCGCTCCTCCCCTCCCACTCTCACCTTCTCTCCCTCCCACCTTCCTTCTTCCACCTCCCCCTCCTCCACCCCCTCCTCCCTCCTCCTCCTCCCTCCCCCCCCTCCCCTCGCCAGCGAAACAGCGCCAATCTACAAAGTGTCAGAAGGCAGCGAACTCCATCAATAACCGGGAGAAAAATGAGTAAATTATTCCGATTCCGTACGCGAGAGGCCGTCATAACTGTCACGGTGAACATTGCTGTAATTTATAACTCGTCCGCTAGAGGGCTTCGGCACTCTTGTCGCTCTCGCAGCGCCGTCCTCTTTCTCTCTTTTTTTTTGGGGGTCTCTCTCCTCTTTTTCTCTTTCTTTCATTCTCTCACTTGGAGTCCTCTTAATCCCGTTCCATGCTAACTTGTCTCTCTTCTTTTTCTTTCTTCTCTCTTTCTCTCTCTCTCTCTCTCTCTCTCTCTCTCTTCTCTCTCTCTCTCTCTCTCTCTCCTCTCTCTCTTCTCTCTCTCTTCTCTCGCTCTCTCTCTTTCTCCTTTCCCTTCACTCTCTCCCTCTCTTCCCTCCCTCTCTCTCTCTCTGCCTTCTCTCTGATCTGCGTCCTTCCCCTTTCCTCCTCCTCCATCCTTTCTCCTCCTTCCTCTCCTCCCCTCAC